CTTCAATAACGCCGTTTCCAAAGCCGAGTGCGATGTAACGGCCATCTTGTGAGAGTGCTGCAGCGGTCACAATACCATTACGAATATCAGGATCAAGAACTTCAGCTTTGTGATCAATCCTGTTCGTCTCATCCATCTCGAATCTACCAACCTCTATCGGTAACGTGCCGAGTTTCGCCTCCATAACCCTTTGAACATTAAGAGTATCCCCGCTCAATGGGATTGAATGGCTAGAGGATTCTCCAGTGATGCTGAAAATTCGAACGGGATCAGAGAGATGCCCATATGACTTGAAAAGTGGGGATGAGGATGGAGTGAAGGGAAGAATTGACCGAAAAATATGCCAGGGGGAGGAGCTGAGTTCATTCTTAGTTATTATATCCTTCACCCTCTTGACTTCTTGGAACCATTCGGTCAAATTGCAATTCTGCAAGGCATAAGTGATGTCATATTGTTAAGAGGAATCAGTAGAATTGAATGAAGTCAAACTTACGACTTACGTTAGATCGAGGTAAGTCACCAGGCAACTCAAAATCAAATTGTGATAGCACCAAGAATGAAAGTAAGTTTCGGGTAAGGAAGACATTAAACTCGCTGCTGAATCCATTGGAGGAGAGTCTTGATGGATCCGAGTGGTAGAACAGGTAGCGGAGAGCATATTGGACATGTTCAGGCTGCTTCTTCCCCTGAAATCCTTTCCGCTTCTTGCCATCTCCGAATAAACTTATTTTGGATTTATTCCGTTCGATAATGTCATTTACAAGCCGAAGAAGCGGTGGTCCCAAGAAATGCCCCTTCAAATCACTGATGAAGAATGGCTGGTCACTTTCATGACCCAATGGGCGATCCGTGAGGAATTCCTTCATTGTTGCATGGTAGAATTTGGGGTATACCGCATCAGGGGCAATTCGAAGCACCCGCATCAAACCTTGGAGGGACCGTGATTTCTCTGAGGACAACTCAATAATTGAGCTGATCGGCTCTAGGGTTGCATGAACTTCATCCTCAGCTATCCCTAGGAGCTGCGACATCGAATATAAACTGAGCGGCCCACGTGCTGCAGTGATCGTCCCAATTACTTGGTGGTAATTCTCGATTACGTGTGGACGAATGCCAGATTGATTGGACATGTATGCTCGCCGCAGTATTCGCAAATACTCCGACTTCAGGTCGAGTGGCGCATCTGTAAGATTGCGAAAGTACTCAAACTCCCGCTTGAGAGTGGAACCGCGTCGAGTCTGATCATGGACATCACGTATGCGGATTGAAGCAATAACGGGCAATCCACGGCAAGCTGAGGCAAAGCTGTCAAAATCCTCATTTGATGGCTTCCAGGCAGATTTCTTCACACAGTCCCGAAGGCCATCCTCCACCATATGACGAACGGTGTGCAGAGTCTCCTCTCCAACCTTATCAACATCCTCGCAAGGGATATCAAGACCCCCATCTATGGCATCGTCCCAAGCTGAGATAACCTCCTGTTCCGGGCGAGAACTGATAAGCACAGCAAACGTGGGAGGTAAGGTCTGAAGCATTAGTACGAGCTTCATCAAGGTTTCAAGTGCCCCCTGATCCCCGCACTCATCCAACCCATCTAGGATGATGAAGAAGCGGTCCTTACTAGACAACAGTAGATCCTTGAGATCGCCCATGGGCTCAATAACCAGCGCCTTCATTTGTTTCTCTAGAGGAAGTTTCTGCGCTAGATCAAGATTCCGCTGCTGAAGGCGTCTGACAAGTGAGAGCTTGAATTCTTCGTTGAAGGAAGCAATTTGATGAGCAAGAGTAGAGGGAAACTGTTTGACAGAGTCTAGCCCCGTCCCCGGTTGATTCTTATCCCAAAAGAAGGATGCCGCTAGGGTGTGTTGTTTCTCAAAGTAGGATGCAATGCTCAGACAAATCGCCGTCTTCCCCATTCCAGGTGAGCCTCTCAACCAGACAAATCTGTTCCCTGCTTTCTTCAGATCTTTGATGATAGATGCCTGTATCTTCTCCCGAGTGCCTTCAAGGCACTCCGACTTGGCCGTAACATAGGTGTGCTCAGCAGCGACCCGTGGGAGTCTTACGAGTTCGGCTAGCAGTGGGCTTTAGTAAAGAGTCCAAGATCATGTGAATAGAAATGTACCTCGCACCGAAGACTGAATTGTGTGAAGGAGTGTCAGAATTGCTGCCTCCGTCTATGGGTATGTTTGCATCAGCTAACATGTTCATACTAGGCACTAAGGAAACAAACCGAGAATGAGATGACAGCCTTGCTGATGCAAGTCTTCACAGCGTCTATGTGCTGGGTTACATCGAACACTGAGAGTAATCTCCTCGGAAGCTTTTGACGCGAAAGTTCCTCAATTTTCTTCATCTGCTCGTTCAAGGCCCTGGGTACGAGATCTGAATTTGAATGAGTAACTGAAGAACACAATGTGCGTACGAATGAAATTCCTTGATTAAAACCGTTACTTCGGGAGGGATATTGTCCGTCCACAGTTGGAGCGGTCGCAGGATAGTGGTGTAAGCTTTATGGACCTCGTCATTTAGCCCTTTGAGGTTTTCGCTATTACTATCAATTGACTGTGTGATAATCAAAAGCGGACGAACATAAGTCACATGCCACCGGTCCTGAAATTAAAACGCTGCTCACCTCGCAGACTTGAAGAAATTTCAGGAGTAAATTGGGAATCTCTCCCAGAAGCGGAATGGGAGAAGCCTTGAGAGCGAAGGCGCCGACTTGGAGAAGGAGCTTCGTAGTGCCAATAATGACCGGTTTCTTTCCATCACCAGCTGGTGCCGGCGACAGAGCCGTCGCTTCTAACAATGAGGGCACATCTGAATCCAATCCCATGCGTTCTAGTTGTGAGTGGAGACTCGAAGTGGTGTCGGCGGCAGTTTGGATGCTGGGCGTTGACCGACGGTTACCGTCAACATTCTGTTCAGGGTAGAGATGAGACAGCCGCGAGGTGTCAGGAGCCGGATGAAGACGTATCTTTGCCACAGACGGTTCCGGATGGGGTGGAGGTGACCTGTGACGGCGATTGGGACTTGACCATTTCCCAAACCAATTGCTTATGCGGCGGAGTGGCGACGTCTCCGAGCCGCCAAGGCTGCGGGAAGACGGCGCAGTTGGCACGATCGCAAGAGATCGCTCGGGGAGAGATCCTGTGGACAAATCATCGAGGCTCTGGGTTGCCTCAGGACCATCGATCTGAATTTCAGGTGCAGCTTGCGACGACTGCGGAGCATGAGAAAAGGGCCGGTAGGCAGGAAACTTTCCTTTCTGACGTCGAGAGGCGGGTGGTAGCTGGTCTTTTCCAGACATCGTGCTAATGATGCGGACGACAGTGAATGCAGGGATTGAAGTATGAAGCCCGGAAAGCCCGCTTAGCCCTCACACGGAATATATGCGGAAGCACCTGAGGAAGGACGAGAAGCAGCTTTGCATTGACCACGATGCAAAGCACAACCGATTGGACGATCCTAGTAAAGTAGCATTGCCTTGATTGGAAACGTGATGAGTCCGGACGATCCTTTCGACGATATTAAGGCCCAGATAGGCATGAAGTTGCGTAATCAAACTGAAAACGCCGAAAGGCCATGGTTTATTTAAGTGTCCAGATTCAGATACGCTGACACTCACGTTTAAGTTCGAGTTGGGATGCTGTGCCTGGGTGCGACTCCGACAACGCTGAGATCTGGGAGCATACTTTCGTCGGCGTCCTTGTGAGCGGTTGTTGAACCCGAGGATTTTCGTAGCCTCGCTGGGTCGACTACCTCACGATGAGGCAACAAAAAGGTAATTGAGCCAAGCCACACTACGTTTGACTTCCTGTGATGGGCGGTCCGGCCCTCGACCCGATTTCTTGGGGGTGACTGCAACTACTGCTAGTGGAAGGGCTTCGTCGATTCGCCCTCACTGAAATTTCGGGTGGCAGTCGGCTCTAGCACTGATTGATTCTGGTGATATATGCGTAGTTTATCATTTCGAAGTCAACTTGGAAATTGAATCATCGCACGTTGGGGAAGTCTTCAGCCGTGCAACAGCTCAAAAGTGCTCCGATTTCGGATTCATTATGGCAAGATGTAGCAGTCATGATGACTCCTGTGCATTCACTTACGGCCGGCCGAAAAGTAACATACCGCTTCGAGCGTTGTGCTACAATTGTCGGGATCGGGATCTTGAGGATGTCTAAAATCCGACCTGGATGGGAGACGCCATTAGAGTGCTCTCGGTGTGCTGATGTGTGAAAACCTTTGGTACAGAGTCGCGCTCGCAGATCGGGCGTGCCGTATTATGCGTGTTGATGTAATCGAGGTTGTGCCTGATGTATGTCCCAGGGACAAGATTATTCTTTCTACATCGACCGCAGGTCACCTCCCAACACGATATCTGCGTTGTGTCGACTGCTTCAGGCAAGATCGAACGTACGACACGTTTCTGAGCTGCATGTTTGGCGTATATATGGCAATATGGGGTTTGACTAAGGCCAGGTCTTACGGGTAGGCAGGACTCCAACCTCTATGACTTCGTAACATTATATAGAGGCAATGGGATCGATAAATCACTTTCTCATGCTGCATACTAGCCCCGAAAGACCCCGAATAGCAGGTTGGAGAACGATCAGCATGTATGTTGAACTCGACACCCCTCATGAACAACAAGGTGAAATTTGTCTTTCCCCTTACATATTAGAATATCAACGTCGAGTTACATCGAAAGGGTAATGAGTGGCAGGGAGCTTTGGCAAAGTTCTTGCTTGTTTGTGTTCCCTTCCCTTGTTTTGTCCATTACGACAATCTTGCCGCTGAGCGTTGGTCGGGTATAAAAAGGGTGAATCTTTGGAACTCTCCATCAGTTCTCACGTTTGAGTCTGAGGTAAAAGTCACTATTTATTTTCCACACATTAACTCATGTATCGCCCATGTCGCAGTTATGCGACATAGGTATTTACAACATTATATTATGCACGAGAATCCGGGGGCAGGAAATAACGGCCATCACCGTAAGATCTATCGAACATAATAGTTCTATATGATACCAAGCAGGCCTGCACGCCCAACAAGCTGGGTCTGCCAGATGAATATTCAATGAAGGAAAAAAGGACCAGTGAAAACCGCAAAAGAACTAGACAACTTGGCTAATATCGACAACGATCGGGGCTCGCATATGACCTTGGACCAAAAATCGAGCCCCTTCTTTGCTAGCGCGAGGAAGATAGAGGCGATCCTCATTCCACAGCATTTGATCCCCATACCATACTTCTTGACTGTTAATCTGGTCCCTGTTGCCAAGAATGATCGGGCGGAAGTCTGGTGGGAGAAGCAGTTCGGGTTTACCATTGAGCCAGATCATCTGTGTGCCGTCCTCATTAATGGATGGGCGGCTGACCCTTATTGACATGGGACTGGGACTGGCGAGCCACGATGGGAGCTCGCAGGATAGTCGCTCCAGCCACAATAGATCTGCATCATGCCCAACCATGGGGCTCTGCACACGAGGGATGCCATTCTCCAGGTGCAAAGGAATTCTCGTTTGAGCATCGATTATGAGATGTGGGCGAGGGTATTTGTTGTAGGAGACGGGAAGTGGGGACTTAGATACATGAAATTGAACCAACTCACGCGTCTCTGTTGACCAAATAGCGAGATTTTTGCCATCATGGACGATGACGTACCGTCCTTCGGGGGAGAGTCCAAGTGTGCGATGGTCAGGCATGGCTGGCCTGGAGGCCGGAGCAACGGAACAAGGAGAGGAAAGAGGGTGGAGGGATGGCTCATCTGAAACATATAAGATCGCCATGTTTTCGTACCAATGGAAGTCAATGTTCCGAGGAACTCGTATAATGAATGAGCCGTTGTCTGCAACCAGAGTAATGGGAGGGTGATGCCCACTGGGGAGGGTACCAACCTTCACAGATGGTGAACCACGGCTGAAGACCATAACGTTTCCTTCATTATCTTCGGTGGCAATCCGGTGGCTGCCACAGATAAATTCAATCCAAGCTGGAGGATTGGGTGGGTTGCATTGGAATTGAACGGTGGTTTGGCGATGATCGATGTCAGCAACTTCGATGACACCATTTCCAAAGCCGAGTGCGACGAAACGGCCATCTCGTGAGAGTGCTGCAGCAGCCACAATACCATTGCGAATATTAGGGACAAGAAATGCGGCTTTGTGATTGATGCCGTCTGTCTCATTCGTCCCATTGGACTCATCTATCCCATCAGACTCCTCCATCCCATCAAACTCATCCATCAGATCTGTCAAAGTCTTTCTTGTCCTAAATCCATCAACCTTTTTTGGCAATTCACGTGGCTTTAGCAGCTCAGCCTCCATGGCCTTTTGAGCATTGAGCATATTCTCACTTAGGGGAATTGAATAGCCAGAAAATTCTCCTGTAATGCTGAAGATCTGAATGGGATCGGAAAGGTGTCCATAGAGCTTGAAGAGTGGGGATGAGGGGGGAGTGAAGGGAAGGACTGATCGATAAATGTGCCAAGGGGAGGACTCGAGTTCGCCTTCAGTTATGAAATCCCTCACCCTCTTAGCTTCTTTTAACAATTCAGTCGAATTGTGATCCTGCAAGGCAAGGTGATGTCATGATGCTGAGAGTAGAATTGAAAGGATTTAAACCTACATTTGAGTTAAGGAATTCATTGGGTAACTCGAAATTAACTCCCGACAGCGCAATGAACGAAAGTAAGTTTCGCTTGAGAAGGGTGTCAAACCTACTCAAGAGTTCATTGGGATTTTGTGAGGACAGCTTCGATGGGTCCAAGTGGCAGAACAAGTAGCGGAAAGCATATTGAACATGCTGGGGTTGCTCCTTGCTTTTGAACCCTTTCCACTTCTCACTATCTCCTAGAGGGTGTATTTTGGGTTCATTCTGTTTGATGACGTTATTGACAAGTCGGAGGAGTGGCAACCCCAAGAAATACCCTTTTGAATCACTGATGAAGAAAGGCCGATCACTTTTACGACCATTTGGGTGACCAGTAAGGAATTCCTTCACCGTTGCATGATAGAATTTGGGATATAGCGGACCATCATGGGACAATGATTCCTCGAAGGGATCGTGGGACAATGATATCTTCGGGTAGCGGTGGTACAATGATTCTCGCCGAGGAAATGATACAATTGAACTGATTGGATCCAGGGTTGCACGGATTTCATCCTCAGCCACTCCTAGTAACTGCGACATCGAAGATAAACTGAGTGACCAATATGCGGCAATCATCGTCCCAATCACTTGGCGGTAATTCTCAATCACACGAGGACGAATACTGGATTGATTGGACATATACGCTCGCCGCAGTATTCGTAAATACTCCGACTTCAAGTCAAGTGGTGCATCCGTAATATCGCGAAAGTACTCAAACTCCGACCAGAGAGTAGAACCACGTTGGGTCTGACCACAGACATCACGTATGCGGATTGAGGCCATAACAGGCAATCCATGGCAAGCCGAAGCAAAGGTATCAAAATCCTTCCCTGACGGCTTCCACACAGATTCCTTCACACAATCCTGAAGGCCCTCCTCCACCATACAACGGACTGTGTGGAAAGTCTCCTCTCCAATCTTATCAACATCTTCGCATGGGACGTTGGAACCTCTACCCTCAGCATCGACCCATGCTGAGATCATCAGCAAAAAATTGTTATGCTCCTGAGTGCTCTGGAGTATCGAGAGCACTGGGAGAATCAGGAGGAGATTGGCCGGTCCAGGAACAGCCCATTTCCTCTGGAGTTGGCTAGGTACTCCAGGGCACTCCCAGGAGGGCCTGGAGCATTGCTTTGTGTACAAACATGTCCAGTAAATACAATTTAAATGCTTCAAAGTGTATAGGGGTGAGAAGCTTCTGGGAGCTCCTGGAGCATTTGAAAATGAAAAGGAAAAAAAAGAGGGAAGATCCCCCATGAATACCTCCTACCACAAGACTAACACAACAAGACACTGCTTAACATTTAGATCAAACACTATACTATATATCAAGGACACTGAGACTCACCAATACACAATCAAAATTTATGGCCTGATATATGATTAATCTGGCAACTTAATCACTTTTGGGCTGGCAGAATATGGGGGAGGGGGAAATGGGGGAGAATGAGGGGGGGAAATGAGGGGAAATGAGGGGGAGAATGAGGGGAGAATGAGGGGGAGAATGAGGGGGGAATGAGGGGGGGAATGAGGGGGGGAATGAGGGGGGAATGAGGGGGGAATGAGGGGGGAATGAGGGGGGAATGAGGGGGGAATGAGGGGGAATGAGGGGGGATATAGAGGGAAATGAGGAAAATTTGAAAAATAGGGACTTCTAAAAAGTTGAAAAAAATAATTAGGGAAAAAATCAAAAAAATTCAGGAACTGTAGTGCCTTTGAAGTGCTTTCAGGATATATAATTATTTGCAAAATCGAGGAAGAAATGATGGAGAAAAATGGAAAATACTTTCGGAGACCCAAGAAATAATGAGAAGTGAATTGATGGGAAAGTCTGAAAATTGAATGGGGAAGTGAGGGGAAGCCTTGTAGCATTGTTATTTTCTGCTGTTCTAATTTTTCCTGATTGTTCTTGGTCTCACTCCCAGCTGCTACTGGATACTCCTGGATACTCCTGGAAGCTCCTGGGAGGGTCCAGGAGCAGCTAATGGAAAATACTTTTGGAGACCCAAGAACTGAATTGATGGGAAAGTCTGAAAATTGAATAGGAAAGTGAGGGGAAGCCTTGTAAGCATTGTTATTTTCTGCTGTTCTGATTTTTCCCGATTCTTCTTGGTCTCATTCCCAGCTGCTCCTCAATACTCCTGGAAGCTCCTGAAAGCTCCTGGGAGGGTCCAGGAGCAGCTGGGAGTGAGACCAAGAACAATCAGGAAAAATCAGAACAGCAGAAAATAACAATGCTTACAAGGCTTCCCCTCACTTTCCTATTCAATTTTCAGACTTTCCCATCAATTCAGTTCTCATTATTTCTCGGGTCTCCGAAAGTATTTTCCATTTTTCTCCATCATTTCTTCCTCAATTTTGCAAATAATTATATGTCCTGAAAGCACTTTAAAGGCACTATAGTTCCTGATTTTTTTTTGATTTTTCCCGAAAATTTTTTTTTCAACTTTTTAGAGACCAAAATTTTCCTCCCACTGCTCCTGGCACATTACATACTCCTCACCACTCCCAGCTGCTCCTGAACCCCCTCCCAGGAGAACACTATTGGCTCCAGGAGTGCCCAATCTGCTGTTTTGTCTCCCACATGCTCCAGCCACTCTTGATGCTCCGGAGCATAACGGACTTTTGCTGATGATAACCTGCCGTTCTGGGCGAGAACTGACCAACACAGTAAATGTAGGAGGCAAAGTGCTAAGCATTAGCACAAGCTTCATCAAGGTCCCAAGTGCATCCTGATCCCCGCACTCGTCCAAGCCATCTAAGATGATGATGAAGCGGTCCTTGCTCGATAACAGTAAATCCTTGAGATCGACCATAGGCTCAACAACCAGAGCCATCATTTGCTTCTCTAGAGGGAGATTCTGCACCAGCTCAAAGTCTCGCTGCCGAAGATGTTTGACAAGTGAGAGCTTGAACTCCTCATTGAAGGACGCGAGTTGATATGCAAGAGTGGAGGGAAACTGTTTAATAGAATCGAGTCCCGTTCCCGGTTAATTTTTATCCCAAAAGAAGGATGCAGCTAGGGTGCCCTGGTTCTTGAAGTAGGACGCAATGCTCAGGCATATCGCAGTCTTCCCCATTCCGGGCGAGCCTCGCAGCCAGATGAATCTGCTCCCTGGTTTCCCCAGAAGTCCGACTATAGATGCCTGCATCTTCTCCCGTGTACCTTCGAGGCACACTGACTTTGCTGTAACGTAGACGTGCTCAGCAGCAGCCCGCGGAAGTCTTGAGAGTTCGGCTGCAGTGGTCTTTAGTAAAAAATCCAAAACCTCGTATAATAGAAACCCGCCTCGTACTGAAGACTGAATTGCGTGAAGAAGTGTCAAAATCGCTGCCTCTGTCTTTGGGGTATGTTCCAATCAGCTAACCCGTACGCTTTAAACGCAAAGGAAACAAACCGAGAATGATGTGACAGCCTTGTTAATGCAGGCCCTTACATCATTTAGGCGCTGCGATATGTCGGATGCCAAGACTATTCTCTTCGCAAGCCTTTGATGCGAAAGTGTCTGGATCTGCTTTGTCTGCTTGTCCAAGGCTCTGGGTACGTGGTTTGAACTCGAATAAGCAAAGAGAGAAGCGAATGTACGCACGAATGGAATTCTTTGACGAAAACTCTTACTTCGGGAGGGATTTGGCCCGTCCACAGCTGGAGCGGTCGCAGGATGGTGGCATAAGCGTTATTAATCTCATCGTCTAGCCCTTTGAGGTTTTCGCTATTACTGTCAACAGTCTACATAAATCAAGGTCGGACAAACATAAGCCATATGCCATCACCGATCATGAAACTCAAACGTTGCTCAAACCTCGTAAACTTGGAGAAATGACAGGAGCAAATTTGGGATCTCTCCCGGAAGCGGAATGGGAGAAGCCTTGAGAGCGAATGCAGCAGCCTGGAGAATGAGCTTCGTGGTGCCAATAATAATCGGTTTCTTTCCATCACCAGCTAAGGCAGGCGGTGGGCTCGTTGGCTCTAACACATCTGAATCCAATCCGATGCGTTCTAGTTGTGAGTGGAGACTCGAAGTGGTGCCGCCGGTCTGGATGCCGGGCGTTGACCGAGGGTGACCAACATTTTGTTCAGGGTAGAGATGAGACAGCTGCGAGGTGTCAGGAGCCGGGTGAAGATGTGTATTTGCCACAGACGGTTCCGGATGGGATGGAGTTGACCCGTGACGGCGATTGGAACTTGATGATTTCCCGAACCACTTGGTTATGCGGCGGAGTGGTGATGTCTCCGAGCCACCGTGGCTGCGGGAAGACGGCACAGTTGGAACGATCGCAAGGGATCTCTCGGGGTGAAATCCTATTGACCCATCATGTCCACTGCTGCGGAAATCATCAAGACACTGGGTTCCCTCGGGACCGTCAATCTGGATTTCAGGTGCGGGCCTTGATGCGTGCCACGACTGCGGAGCACGAGAAAAGAGCCGGTAGGCAGGAAAATTTCCTTTCTGACGTTGAGAGGCGGATGGCAGCTGGTCTTTTCCAGACATCGCGCTAACAGCGATCTAGACGATAGTGAACGTAGGGAACGAAGTATGACGCCCGGAAAGTCCGCTTAGCCCTCACACAGAATATATGAGGAGGCACTTGAGTTAAGACAAGAAGCAGCCTTGCATTGACTACGATGCAAAGCACAGGTGATGATTGAACGTTCCTAGCAAAGTGGTGTTGCCTCTTGCATTGCCTTGTTTGGAAACGTGGGCGATAATCCTTTCGACCGTACCAAGTCCCAGATATCCCAGATAGGAACGAATTCAGATATGCTAACGCTCACGCGAGTTGGGACGTTGTACCTTGATGATGATGATAAATCTATCTTAATACCCTCGTGATGACGTGGCAGTGCGGCTATCCCGTCCTAACACCGGAGCGTACATGGGGGGAATATCTATACATGGTGGTATTCTGGTTGGTGTATTCGGGTGTCAATGATCCTCGGGTTCTGTGGTGTCCATAGGTATTGTCGTGGTGATAAAAAATAAAAATAAGAAATGGAAAAAATGAAAAGGTTCCGTCTGTCCCCTGCAAATTCTGTTCTGCTTCGTCTATCCCGTGAGTCGGTCGGGCGATGGCGGTCCTCGCGGTGTGTTTGTTGTCGTCGGTTTGTCGCCTGTCTTGGACTTTTTGATGAAATTGGCAAGCCTTTCTGTGCCTTTCATCTTGCCCATGAGGATGTGGAATTTCGTCTGGTTTCCGCGTCCTAGTAGGTATCTGTGTCTACTTGTCCGGGGGACGTTGTGCCTTGGTGCCACCCGATCAAGGTTGAGATCTGTCATTGTCCGGGAGCATGACTTCGTCGGGAAGCGCCGCGCCCTTGTGAGCGCCTCGCTAGGTTGCTATGTACCTCGCAATGAAGCAACACAAAAGGCAATTGATCCAAGCCACAGCTCGATTCGCCCTCACTGAAATTCAGAGCGCTGATTGATTCCGGTGATATGTAGTTAAGTTTGACAAAAAACCTCCCGTCCAGAGGCTGGCTAGCCTCCGCGAGATGAGGCCATGTGTCAATCCGTAAATTCGGTCGAGTATTTAGTATGTTGATTAATCGATGTCAGGGGGACGCACTGACCAATCCCGTTAGGGGGAAGAAATGACCGCTGCCCTTATCGGGGCACTTTTCGAACAGGTATACGAACGCCTCGGTCATAACCCAAATGACGACCTCGAGACGCAAATGTGTGCCTGGTCATACAAATCTGTGTCGCGTGGCAGCTAATCGGCCTCTTGCAACAATGCCTGATGACCTGGTGGTCTGATGACAGAAAATTATCGAGGACGAAGACCTTAGTGAGATCGATGAATGGCATAAGGAGCTGTATCGACACTTTTGCTTGGAAGCGATGAAGAATCCGGCGATTGATCTCCAGGGTCTTGGACATACGACAGGTTCATCGTTGTATTTGACGAGTGCATAAACATCATATCTCGGAGTTCAATGCTCGAACTAACTGAATCGGAGTTCCTATCTCCCGCTTATGGGACACCGATATTAACACTTCAGCGGATGATTAAGGCCCAAAATGAATTTCCCATCGAAGGATTTAATTTTTCCTCGATACGGGTCCCACGATATGCTGAGTTTTTTCATCCATGTTACGAAGCATCATTAGCCCGGCACACTGATCTCGCGACGCTCCCGCCTCGGCCTCACTTAGGTTTTGATGCGATGATACAGTCACCATCGAGGACTCCCAGAGAGGCATTGCCGTTCAGTTACCTGACGAATCACGGCCGCCCGGTACGCCTCATTAGCCCTCCACTGTAGTTTAATCCCATCGATGTTGGCCATGTTCTGGCAATATTTCCCCAACGATTCCCTGTTGAGCTTGCGACCAACGAGGCTGGGTCTATTCTTGCTGCCTCAGGCGTCCATGGCCAAATCCAGAGGGACGTCATTGGCTGTTCGCGTATTGAAACTGTCGCCCCTTCCGAGCCAGCACTCGCGATCGCGGCCATGGATATTGCGGGAAACATACAAGAGGGCCCCTTGAGACATTTGTTGATAACCGATGATCAATGGATCCATCCTCAAGCGAAGTCGTCAAGCCGAGTTGTTCAGTTGCATTCAGTTGACCCTTGCGCGGGATTGGGCAAGTGCATTCAAGAGCATTCAGCAGGTCCCCACGATATCGTCGAAAGTGTTCTTGACCGCCCTCCTTGGTGGGTGGCTCCCCAATGATCAGAGCCTCCAGTTCTTGAAAGAAATGGACAACGCCCATATCAACTTTACGCATATCGTCCGGCTGGCGGAAGACGTTGACAATTTATCGTTCGATTCCCTTTGCAAGGCATTTGAATTGGAACAGTTCAGTTACATAGCGGAGCTGCGTGTTGATTCATCTACTTCTGGCCTTCCTTCGGAGCTTGCTGGACCTCGTATCGGGTCAGAAGCCTCAGTCGACTGCGTTGTTGTTCGTGGATCTGGGCACTAACTGCGATTTTGGATCAACGGCAGGAACACTGTGTCAACTCCTTCTTGGGCCCGCGCAACATCCGCCCGTCCCTAGCCATCGATGGGGAGGTTATATGTCCACCCAAGACGAGGAACCCGCTTGATGGTGCATCCATGCTCGAGGAAATACATCATGTACCCTGTGATTGAAGGGGTCGCTTGCAGCTCACCGCCCTCTTCAACCGATCTTCGCCCTGGACGGACCGGGCTTTGTCCATGATAATGGGGGAGCAGGCGAACCCTTTCGCTGTGCAGTTGGACCCATGCAAAGGTCCAGAGACTCCTCGATCTGAGGCCGAATAAGCATCCGCTGTTCATGTACAAAGGTGTGGGATTTTAGCGACCCAAACTGTAGTGCTGTATTAACATACTCCGTTATGATGTTCTTCATGAAAACGAATGTTGTCTGCGACTCCGATCTAGGCTGGGTTTCAACTTGAACATCATTATCGGGAGCACGACCCCGGGCTGGGCGTTACATTTAAGTGGTGCTCGTCCAAGCACTGCAGGACGATCCCGCCGCGATACTACAGGAGTCCTGCTCAGTGACTGTGCCACCATACTTCTGAGGATGACCGTACCTGTGTTCTTGAAAAGTCTCGAGCTTGAGTTAATAGCAGTGTCGGTCAGGGCTCATGGGTTCAGCAATGCATCTAGAGTTTCGTTCGAGCCGTGTAGATACAGAAGTGAATATAGAATAATCCGAATATAACGCCTATTCCGTTTGTGAGTGATGGAAAGGGGTTTCATGCATGAGAACCGTGCCAATTGTGTGTGTCTAAGGACCTAAACGGACTGCATGTAGGAAGCTGATATCTACACATATAGTATTCCTCCGACGAAAGGGGAGTTGATGCGGCCTCGCTCGATATTACTGGGGGCCAATGCGATATTAGGGAAACTTGATCCTGATTGTCGTGTTGTGTTGTCAGTCCTGGGTAGTCGGCAAACATGACGTCGTTGAGTGTGAACAGGATTTGAACGCAATAAGGGTAGGAAGGGAAAGAAATATAATGTGTTGCTGATAAATGGGTGAAGCCGGGGGAAATAATCGGGGAGAAAAACATACCGTTCCAAGCACACCCGTTTGAAGTGTAGAGTTCGTCGTTTGATTTCCTGGCGTCGTCAAATTCACAGGTAATCTCAACATCACGTTATAAGCCTTCGACCCAGTGTTCGCTAACGTTGCTTCCCACAAATCGATCCCACCAACATCGATGCCCATCCCACTGGGTCCAACTGGAAAGTTACCCCAACCCTAGTCCACCACCTACACCAGGGACGGAGGCAACTACTGGAACAGGGACCCCCAAGTATGATATGCTCAACCCGGGTGAAGGCCATATCCCGAAGAGGGTAGGATTGAAGGTTGTTTTGGATGTAATTTTGACCTGGGTGGAGAACGGTGGGTGCGGAAATGCTGCCGACAAGGGCGAGAGCTGGGGAGATGAGGGGGGAACAAGATGCTAGTATTCATTGTGCGAGTGTCTCGATGGGACAACGCGATGTTGATGTTTCCCGTAAGGACCGAGATTCATGTTGGCCTGGGGGTTGCGACCTAGGCAATATTGACCCTGACTGACACACCTTGAGCTCAGGTCTTGAGGATCTGTCGAAGACGAGCATCGTATAACCCAACACTATTATAAAGCTCCATAATGCACATGCACACTTCCGGCCGAAGAACCGTCACCCAGTTTTGCATGTGCTCATAGGATCCGCCCGCCGTAGCACGGGAATCGGCAAAGAATATAAAATACGTCACAATATTGGAGTGGGGCGCGGGGCGCGGCTCAGAATAGGTTTGAAATGCGCGGGCACTTACATAAGCAAACAGAGTTCGACTTGGCGTGATTACTCGAGCTCGACCTACTTAATACGTTCCAGCGATACCCCTAAATTTGGTCATTGAACTTCACCTTATAGCATGTAGCTCGTGACACGTTCTTCAGTGCTTGCCTTTGCCTTCTAGTCTTCGATTCGCCTCGCGTTCGTTGGCGTTTCAGAGCAGCACACCTGACCTAATTGTCCCGTCACAGTGAGGGAGGTATGTATCTATCGAACCTTCCCAACCGGTGAGTTTACGCCAACCCCGCCGTGCCCACTCCCATTTCATGATCACGGACGTCTCCAACTTTCCAGGAGCATCCACTTTTTTACCGCCAAAGATGGAATTCTTAACCAAGATGTGGCAACCCTAATAGTTCTTGATTGGAATCTCTGTGGGGTATTCGCTGGCGAGTGCAATCTGGTTTACGAGGTTTGCATCTCGATCCTCGTACGTTGATTACCTTCCCACTTTCAGATTTTTTCAAATTCATTCGCGACACTTTCAGCATGATCGGGGTACGGAAAAGCCAGTGAACATTGGTTACCCATCCATACTGTAGAGACTATTGTGGGTAGTCAAGCATCTGCTCCGAGTTCATCACTTCTCGCTTGAGCCCCAATAACATCGCTCTCCGTTGGGTTGCTCGTATTTGTTCTTAATGCAGACCTCCCTAGCCTTGATAGTCCCGTCAATGTCGATGCTGCCGTAAGCCACCCTTGCGTTTTTCCTTACGAACCCTTTTTCGTCCCATTTTTGCCGTTATCCACCTATAACACCGGGCCCATAGAGAGACAAGTGCGCACAGATCTCTCCGGATACCGCAAGAAAGTTCGATGTCTTGCCCGTGAAAGCGCCGAAGAGACATGAGTAGCCCACATACACATCAAGTGCCACACGGTGGAAACTGGGCGCTCTCCATATGCTGTGGCGTTATCTATAATCGTTCAAGGAGCTGGCACGGCCTGCCTGGGCAGCTACTGCATCTGCCGGCCTTTTCATGTTTTTGGTCATTGTCCCTTGTACGACAATCTCACCACTGAGCGTTGGTCGTGTATAAACGGGTGACTCCTCTTCCTCGGTTCTCGTATTTAAGTCAGAGGTGGGAGTCAGAATTTTACATTAATTCATGTATCGCTCATGTCGCAGTTATGCGACATAGCATTATGCACAGTTCAATCCAGGGGACAGGAAATAATGACCATCACCAAGCTTGTAGTAAGATCTATTGAACATGATAATTATCGTCCAGCCAAGCAGGCCTGCGTGCCCAACAAGCTCTTCTTGCTCAGATGAAGGAAGAAAGCATCATAGTAGAAGACCTAGACAACTTGGCTAATATCGACGACGATTGGGGCTTGCATATGCCCTTGGACCAAAAATCGAGTCCCATCTTTGCTGGCGCAGGGAAGGTAGTGGTCAACCTTATTACTCAGCATTCGATCCCCATACCATACTTCTTGACTGCTAGTCTGGTTCTCGTCAAGAATGATCGGGCGGTATCCTGGTGGGAGAAGCAGTTCAAGTTTACCATTGAACCAGACCATCTGTGTTCTGTGCCTATGTATTACTTCGTCTTCGTCAGCGAGGAAACCACCTCGATGCATATTCGAGTGTGATGAGAGGGCACGGGATAGTCGCACCAGCCACAATAGATCTGCATCCAGCCCCCATGGATCTGCATCATGCCCAGCCGTGAAGCTCTGCACACGAGGGATGCTATTCTCTAGGTGTGAAGGAATTTCCGTTCGGGTTTGAGTTATGAGATGTGGTCGATGGTATGTGTGGTAGGAGACAGGAAGTGTGGAACCAGATACTTTGTGGGATTGAACCGATTCGCGCGTCTTTGTTGACCAAATAACGATATCACTGTCATCATGGGCAACGACGTACCGTCCTTCGGGGGAGAGTCCAAGTGTGCATCGGTCAGGCATGGTAAACCCTGTGAACAGCCACTTCTTAGGGGGAGAAAGAGGGTGGATAGAAGGTTCATCTGAAACATATAAGATCATCATGTGTTCGTGCCAATGGCAGTCAATGTTCCGAGGAACTCGTATGATGAATGAGCCATTGTCCGCGACCAGAGTAATGGGAGGGCGATGCCCACTGGGGAGGGTACCAACCTTCACAGGCGGCAAGTCATGGCTGAAGACCGTGATGTTCCCCTCCTTATCTTCGGTGGCAATCCGGTGGCTGCCACAGATAAATTCAATCCAAGCTGGAGGATTGGGTGGGTCGCATTGGAATTGAAAAGTGGTTTGGTGATGATCAATGTCAGCAACCTCGATGGTACCATTTCCAAAGCCGAGTGCGATGAAACGGCCATCTCGTGAGAGTGCAGCAGCAGCCACAATACCATTGCGAATGTTACGAACACGAAACGCAGCTCCGTGATCGATGTCTGCCTCATCCGGATCCGTCAAAGGGTGTATTGTCCTGGATCTATCGGCTTTTTTAAGTAGCCTTGGCAGCTCAGCCTCCATGACCTTTCGAGCATTGAGCGTATTCTCGCTAAGTGGAATTGAATAGCCGGAAAATTCTCCTGTAATGCTGAAGATTTGAACGGGATCGGAAAGGCGTCCATAAAGCTTGAAAAGTGGGGATGAGGGTGGAGTGAAGGGAAGGACTGATCGATAAATATGCCAAGGGGAGGACTTGAGTTCGTTTCTAGTCATGAAATCCTTTACCCTCTTGGCTTCTTTTAATAATTCAGTCGAATTGTGAACCTGCAAGGCAAGGTGATGTCATGTTGCTGAGAGTAGAATTGAAAGGATTTAAACCTACATTTGAGTTAAGGAATTCATTGGGTAACTCAAAATTAAATCCCGACAGCGCAATGAACGAAAGTAAGTTTCGCTTGAGAAGGATATCAAACTCGCTCCAGAGTCCATTGGAATCTTGTGAGGACAGCTTCGATGGGTCCAAGTGGCAGAAAAAGTAGCGGAAAGCATACTGAACATGCTTGGGTTGCTTCTTAATTTTAAATCCCTTCCACTTCTCGCTATCTCCTAGAGGGCGTACTTTGGGTTCATTGTGTTCAATGACATTATTGATAAGTCGGAGGAGTGGCAACCCCAAGAAATACCCCTTCGAATCACTGATGAAGAAAGGCCGATCACTTTTACGACCAAACGGGCGATCCGCAAGGAATTCCTTCATTGTCGCGTGATAGAATGTGGGGTATAGCGGATCATCGTGGGACAATGATTCCTCCGAGAAATCGTAGGACAATGATTCTTGCTGGGAAAGTGCTACAATTGAACTGATTGGATCCAGGGTTGCACGAATTTCATCCTCGGCCACTCCTAGTAACTTCGAAATCGAATATAAGCTGAGCGGCTGATATGCAGCAATGATCATCCCAATCACTTGGCGGTAATTGTTAATCACACGTGGACGAATACTGGATTGATTGGACATATACGCTCGCCGCAGTATTCGTAAATACTCCGACTTCAGGTCAAGTGGTGCATCTGTAAGATCACGAAAGTACTCAAACTCCGACCTGAGAGTAGAACCGCGTTGGGTCTGATCACAGACATCACGTATGCGGATTGAGGCCATAACAGGCAATCCACGGCAAGCCGAAGCAAAGGTATCAAAATCCTGCCCTGACGGCTTCCACACAGATTTCTTCACACAATCCTGAAGGCCCTCCTCCACCATACGACGGACTGTGCGGAAAGTCTCCTCTCCAATCTTATCAACATCTTCGCATGGGATGTCAAGACCCCCATCCTTAGCATCATCCCATGCTGAGATAACTTGTGGCTCTGGGCGAGAGCTGACTAAGACGATGAATGTGGGAGGCAAAGCATCAAGCATTAACACGAGTCCCATCAAGGTACGGAGTGCTCTCTGATCCCCGCACTCATCCAACCCATCTAAGATGATGATGAAGCGGTCCTTGCTCGACAACAGTAAGTGCTTAAGATCACCCATAGGCTCAACAACCAGAGCCCTCATTTGCTGCTCCAGAGGGAGATTTTGTGCAAGCTCAAGACCTCGTTGCCGAAGACGTTTGACAAGTGAGGACTTGAACTCCTCATTGAAGGACGCAAGTTGATGTGCAAGAGTGGAGGGAAACTGTTTAATAGAATCGAGTCCCGTTCCCGGTCGATTCTTATCCCAAAAGAAGGATGCAGCTAGGGTGCCCTGGTTTTCGAAGTAGGACGCAATGCTCAGACAAATCGCGGTCTTCCCCATTCCGGGCGAGCCCCGCAGCCAGATGAATCTGTTCCCTGGTTGCCCCAGAAGTTCGACTATAGATGCCTGTATCTTCTCCCGTGTACCTTCGAGGCACTCTGACTTGGCTGTAACGTAGACGCGCTCGGCAGCAGCCCGCGGGAGTCTTGAGAGTTCGGCTGCAGTGGCCTTTAGTAAAAGTCCAAAACCTCGTATAATTGAAACCCGCCTTGCACTGCAGACTGAATTGCGTGAAAGAGTGTCAAAATCGCTGCCTCTGTCTATGGAGTATGTTTCAATCAGCTAACCCATACGCTTTAAACGCAAAGGAAACAAACCGAGAATGAAGTGACAGCCTTGTTAATGCAGGCCTTCACATCATTTAAGCGCTGCGTTATGTTGGATGCCAAGACTATTCTCTTCGCAAGCCTTTGACGCGAAAGTGTCTGAATCTGCTTCGTTTGTTTGTCCAAGGCCCTGGGTGGGGGGTTTGAACTTGAATAAGTAAATGAAGAAGTGAAGGTACGCACGAATGGAATTCCTCGATGAAAGCCCTTACTTCGGGAGGGATTTGGCCCGTCCACAGTTGGAGCGGTTGCAGGATGGCGGTATAAGCGTTGCGAATCTCATCATTTAGCCCTTTGAGGTTCTCGCTATTACTGTCAACGGTCTACATAAATCAACATACATAAGCCATATGCCACCACCGATTGTGAAACTCAAACGCTGCTCAGACCTCGTAAACTTGGAGAAACGACAGGAGTAGATTTGGGATCTCTCTCAGAAGCGGAATGGGAGACGCCTTGAGAGCAAACGTAGCAGCCTGTAGAAGGAGCTTTGTGGTGCCAATAATAATCAGTTTCTTTCCATCGCCAGCCAGGGCAGGCGGTGGGCTCGTTGGCTCTAACACATCTGAGTCCGATTCGATGCTTTCTGGTTGTAAGTGGAGACTTGGAGTGGTGTCGGCGGCAGTTTGGATGCTGTGCATTGGCCCCGATGCGTGCGACGACTGCGGAGCACTAGAGAAGGGCCGGTAGGCAGGGAACTTTCCTTTCTGACGTCGAGAGGCGGATGACTGCTGGTCTTTTCTAGACATCGCGCTTATGGCGGTGTGGATGATAGTGAACGTAGGGATCGAAGTATGAAGCCCGGAAAGCCCGCTTAGACCTCACGCAGAATATAAGCGGAAACACTTGAGCTAAGGCAAGAAGCAGAGCCTTGCATTGACCACGATGCAAAGCAACAACTGATTGAACGATCCTAGTGTAGTGTTGCCTCTTGCATTGCCTTGTTTATGAGTCCGATATGGGCAGCCCTTTCGACCGCACCGAGTCCCAGATAACCCAACTAGGCATGAAGCTGCGTATCGTTCATTCGGACTGAAAACGCCGAAAGGCCATGGTTGGTTTACGTGTCCAGCTAGATATCCTGACCGCTCACGTTTAAGTTCAAGTTGGTACGTTGTGCCTCGGGTGCCACTCCGATCAAGGCTGAGATCTGACTTGGAGTATAACTTTGTCGGGAAGCGCTGGGCCCTTGTGGTCATGAGCGCCTCGCTGGATCGGCTATGTACCTCATGATGAAGCAACACAAAAGGCAATTGAGCCAAGCCACAGGGGGAGTCTACAATTGACCCCCTGTGATGGGCGACCCTCAACCCGATCTCTTAAACTACTGGAGGGCTTCGTCGAATCGCCCTCACTGAAAATGACAGTCAGTTCTAGCGCTGATCGATTTCCAGTTTCTTTTATTCCTGGCTCCCAGTCGAGAAATATGGGATTATCATTTTCTGTTAGCCATGAGCTTCTTCGCCCATCCAAGAATATCACGATCCTGATTCCTTAGACGTCAGTTATCTGTTCCCTCATCCCTTCCATCTGCGGAATGCCAATACACTTCAGCCTACATCTGCATCGTCCCGCGATGGAGGTATCCAGACGCGTCTGGGCATTGTTACCCATGTACAAAGACAGACTCGAATGAGTTTCCTCCTGTTCGCCGCTCGGCTATGATCACTCTGAAACCCTCAGGCTTAATGACCCAGAGCACAGCAGATACGCTCCTTCACACAACAAGCATGGAGAGGTGGTGTACAACGTAAGAAATAAGTTGCAGTGAAATCGTGACGAGGTCCGGGGCGATCACATAAGAACAGGGATAACAATCCCATCCGAAAGATCTGACCGATTCTATACTTGTAAATTCAAGACCAGTGGCTTTAACTTATATAATTTGGGCAGCCTCATCTCGAACCGCAATCGGTGACTAACTAGTATTTGAAGCCAGCCGCCTGGAGCAACTGCCAGTGGAAATTGAGTCATCAGAGATTGGGGAAGTGATTTTGCTGCGGAGGGTCGAACAGTGTAGGGAGCGTCGGGTTCGGAGTAAAAAGTTGTATTAGTCGTGATGACTCCTGTGCATTCACTTGCGGCCGGCCGAAAAGTAATATGATGCCAATGACATTTCAAGATCAATCTTGAGTTATGTATCGGAGTCGTCCAGAATGCCCAGTGTGTGCATTCGCTATTGGATTTGGACAAGGTGTGAAATAAATTGAGCTAACTGCGCCAATGCGTTAATGGGTTTGATAGAACCCGAATAAAAAGGGTCCATTCCGTTTGTGAGTGATAGAATGGGGTTTCATGCATGAGAGCCGTGCCAATCATATGTGTGTCTGAAGAGTCGGGGCCACCGCGAACTTGGTCCTGATTGTCATGTTGTAAAGGGACAGTGTTGCCAGTCCGGATGCTCCCACCTGGATGGCCGGTATACATGACCTCGTCGAGTGTGGACAGGATTTGAACGTAATCATGTTAATAATGATGCGTGAAGCCGGGGGAAAGTAAAACACACTGTTCCAGGCGAAGTGTAGTTCGTCATTCGATTTCCCGGCATCGTCAAATCCACAAAATAAGCGTTCGGTCGAGTTCGCTAACGTTGCTTCCCGCAAATCGATCCCCAACTTTCCCGTTCCACTGGGTCCAACTCGAGCGTTACCCAACCCTAGTCCACCATCTGCGCCAGGGACGGGGGGAAACTGCCGGAACAGGAACCCCCCAAGCACGACACGCCCAAGCCGGGGTGAAGGCCACATTGAAGAGAGCGTAGAATCGAAGGTTGTGTTGGATGCAGATGGATGTATGGAATGTTACAGTGAAATTTTGACCTGGGTGCGGAAATGCTGTCGACCAGGGCGAGAGCTGGAGAGATGAGGAAGAAAGGACAAGATGCTAATATTCATTGTGCGAGCATCTGGATGGGGCGATTTCCAAGAGGACCGCTAGGCAGGTTACCAGCCTCTATTGATTCGAGCGAGTATATAATGGTAGATAGGATTGGCTTGGGTCTGAACCTGAGCTCGACCTAGTTAATATTGACCCCGATTAAGCTGAGGTCTCGTCTTCCCTTGAGGTTAGTGAGGATTATATATATATTTACGATGTCGTAAAGGTTGGGGCGTCTTATATCCCAACACTATTGCGATGCACACGCGGCCAGATATATATCGTAAGAAGATACGTCAGAATGGGAGGTTAAATGTTACACAAATGGATTTGAAATGCGGGGGAATGGAGCCGTTACATAAGCAAACACGTCATTTTTAGACTCGGCTATGATTATGCATGCGTGCTCGACCTCGACCTAATGCCTCCACGAGCGATCCAGCGATGTGCCCCATACCCCTAAGTTTGGTCATTGGAATTCACCTCATGGCGTGTAGACCGTGACACGTTATTTCCATGCCTGCCTTTACCTTAGTCTTCAATTCGCCTTGTGTTCGCTGGCGTTTCAGAGCAGCACACCTGATCTAATTTTTCCGTCGCAGTGAGGGAGGTATGTATCTATCGGGCACAGCTAAGTTTCCCTCCTGTGAATTTACGCCAACCCCCGCCGCGGATTTTCCAAGAGTATCTCCTTTTAATTTTGTCGCCAAAGTTGAAATTCTTAACCAAGATCTGGCAACTCTAATGGTTTGTGATTGGAATCCCTGTGGAGTATTCGCTGACGAGTGCAATTTAGTTTACGAAAATGGCGAGGTTTGCATCTCGGTTGATTACCTTCCCACTTTCAGATTCGCTCCAACTCATTCGCAGCACTTTCAGCATGATCCGGGAGACGACCAGTGGAGGTACCTGAACGTTGGTTACCCATCCACACTGTGGACACTATGGTGAGTAGTCAAGCATCTGCTCCAACCGAATCCATCTCTTCTTGCTTGAGCCTGGTTAAACGGAAATGATGTCGCTCCCCGTTGGGTAGCTTTTATCTCTCTCTGCTTAGCGCAGACCCCCAGCCTTGATAGTCCCGCCAATGTCGACGCTGCCGCAAGCCAACTCTTGCATTTCTATGTCTGTTCCTCACGAACCCTTTTTCGTCCCATTTTCGCCGTTATCACTGGGCCCATACAGAGACACAGGTCTCTCTGGAGGCCGCAAGAAAGTTCGATGTCTTGCTTGTGAAAGCGCTGAATAGCCCACATGGGCCTCTGTCACACATCGCTGGACAGCAGCCAGCTTTGTGGTACACGTCAAGTGCTGCGCGGTGGAAACTGGGCGCTCTCGTGGCGTTATCTATAATCTTTCAAGCGGCATGCACGACCGGCCTGAACAGCTACTGCATCTGCCGGCCTTTTCATGTTTTTGTCCATCATCCCTGGTTCGACAATGTCGCCACTGAGTGTTGATCGTGTATCAGAAGGGCGACTCTTTCTCAGTTCTCGTATTCGAATCTGTGATGGGAGTCACTATTTTACTTTCTACACATTAACTCATGTATCGCTCATGTCGCAATTACGCGACGCAGGTATCTACAACATTATGCACAGTTTAATCCGGGGGACAGAGAATAGTGACCATCGCCAAGCTTGTAGTAATATTTATAGAATATGATAGTTCTATAGGATCTTGTCTAGCTGAGCAGGCTTACATGCCCAACAAGCTCGTCTTTCAGATGAAGGTTCATGGATATTGCTGCTCGTCCCTGACTTTCAAATACATTAATGCACATGTACAACGGGACACGAACAATGCAAGAAAAAAGCACCATAGTGAACGCCGCAAATGAACTAGACAACTTGGCTGATATCGACAACGATTGGGGCTCGCATACAACCTTGGACCAAAAATCGAGTCCCATCTTTACTAGCGCAAGGAAGGTAGAGGTTATACTCATCCCTCAGCATTCGATCCCCGTACCATACTTCTTGACTGTTAATCAGGTCCTCATCAATAATGATCGGGTGGTAGTCTGGTGGGAGGAGCAGTTCAAGTTTACCATTGAGCCAGATCGTCTGTGTTCTGATGGGTCCTCCGATGAGGGAATCAAAGCTGTATAAGGTGGTGACACGACGCCGCTGACGCATATCCGAAGCCTGTGTGAATCTTGATGAGAGCTCATGGGATAGTCGCTCCAGCCACAAGAGATCTGCATCATGCCCACCCATGAGGCCCCACACCTGAGGGATGCCATTCTCTAGGTGCGAAGGAATTTCCGTGCGCGTTTGGGTTATGAGATGTGGACGAGGGTATGTGTTGTAGGAGACGGGGAATGTGGAACCAGATACATGAAATTGAACCAATTCGCGTGTCTCTGTTGACCAAATAACGATATTATTGCCATCATGAACAACGACGTACCATCCTTTGGGGGAGAGTCCAAGTGTGCAATGGTCAGGCATGGCTGGCGTGGAGGCCGGAGTAACGGAACGAGGAGAGGAAAGAGGGTGGATGGATGGTTCATCTGAAACATACAAGATCGCCATGTTTTCGTACCAATGGCAGTCTATGTTCCGAGGAACTCGTATGATGAATGACCCGTTGTCCGCGACCAGAGTAACGGGAGGGCAAGGTCCGCTGGGGAGGGTACCGATCTTCACAGACGGCGAACCCTGACTGAAGACCGTGATGTTTCCCTCGTTATCTTCGGTGGCAATCCGGTGGCTGCCACAGATAAATTCAATCCAGGCCGGAAGATTGGGTGGATCACATTGGAAACGAGTGACGGTGTGTTGATGGTCAATGTCAGCAACTTCAATAACGCCGTTCCCAAAGCCGAGTGCGACGTATCGGCCATCTCGTGAGAGTGCTGCAGCGGTCACAATACCATTACGAATATCAAGATCAAGAAATTCAGCTTTGTGATCAATCCTGTTCGCCCCATCCATCTCGAATCTACCAATCTCTGTCGGTAACGCATTGAGTTTCGCCTCCATAACCCTTTGAACACTAAGAGTATCCCTGCTTAATGGGATTGAATGGCTAGAGGATTCTCCAGTGATGCTGAAAATTTGAACGGGATCAGAGAGATGCCCATATGACTTGAAAAGTGGGGATGAGGTGGGAGTGAAGGGAAGAATTGACCGAAAAATATGCCAGGGGGAGGAGCTGAGTTCATTGTTAGTCATTATATCCTTCACCCTCTTGACTTCTTTGAACCATTCGGTCAAATTGTGATTCTGCAAGGCAAAAGTGATGTCATACTGTTAGGAGGAATCAGCAAAATCGAATGAAGTCAAACTTACGTTAGATCGAAGCAATTCATTGGGCAACACGAAACGGAATTGCGATAGCACAAAGAATGAAAGTAAGTTTCGGGTGAGGAAGACATCAAACTCGCTACTGAATTCGTTGGAGAGTCCTGATGGATCCGAGTGGTAGAACAGGTAGCGGAAAGCGTATTGGACATGTTCAGGCTGCTTGTTCCCCTGAAACTCTTTCCGCTTTTTGCTATCTCCCAAAGTACGGATTTTGGATTTATTCCGTTCAATGACGTCATTTACAAGTCGAAGAAGTGGTGGTCCCAAGAAATGCCCCTCCAAATCACTGATGAAGAATGGCTGATCACTTTCATGACCAAACGGGTGATCCGTAAGAAATTCCTTCATCGTTGCGTGGTAGAATTTGGGGTATACTGCATCGGGGGTAATTCGAAGCACCCGCAACAAACCTTGGAGGGATCGTGATTTCTCTGAGGAAAACTCAACAATTGAACCGATCGGCTCTAGGGTCGCACGGAGTTCATCCTCAGCTATCCCTAGGAGCTGCGACATCGAATGTAAACTGAGCGGCTCGCGTGCTGCAATGATCGTCCCAATCACTTGGCGATAATTCTCGATTACGTGTGGAGGAATAGTAGATTGGTCAGACATATATGCTCGCCGCAGTATTCGCAGATACTCCGATTTTAGGTCAAGTGGTGCATCTCTGAGATTGTGAAGGTATTCAAACTCCCGCTTGAGAGTGGAACCGCGTTGGGTCCGAGTGCGGACGTCACGTATGCGGATTGAGGCCATAACAGGCAATCCACGGCAAGCCGAAGCAAAGGTATCAAAATCCTCCGGGGATGGCTTCCACGCAGATTTCTTGACACAATCTCGAAGGCCCTCCTCCACCATACGGCGAACTGTGTGCAAAGTCTCCTCTCCAATCTTATCAACATCTTCACATGGGATGTTGAAATCTCCATCCTCAGCATCGACCCATGCTGAGATAACCTGCGGTTCTGGGCGAGAACTAACCAAAACAGTAAATGTGGAAGGCAAAGCGCGAAGCATCAGCACAAGCTCCATCAAGGTTCCAAGTGCTTCCTGATCCCCGCACTCGTCCAAGCCATCTAAGATGATGATGAAGCGGTCCTTGCTCGACAACAGTAAATCCTTGAGATCACCCATAGGCTCAACAACCAGAGCCCTCATTTGCTTCTCTAGAGGGAGATTCTGCACCAGCTCAAAACCTCGCTGCCGAAGACGTTTGACAAGTGAGAGCTTGAACTCCTCATTGAAGGATGCAAGTTGATGTGCAATAGTGGAGGGAAACTGTTTAATGGAATCAAGTCCCGTTCCCGGTTGATTCTTATCCCAAAAGAAGGATGCCGCTAATATGCACTGTTTCTCCAAGTCGGACGCGATGCTCAGGGAAATCGCAGTCTTTCCCATTCCGGGTGAGCCTCGCAGCCAGACGAATCTGTTCCCTGCTTTCTTCAGATGTTCGACTATAGACGCCTGTATCTTCTCCCGTGTGCCTTCCAGGCACTCTGACTTGGCTGTGACATAGGTGTGCTCAGCAGGGACCCGTGGGAGTCTTGAGAGTTCGGCTGGTAGTCCCCTTTAGTAAAGAGTCCAAAAGCATCTGCATAGAAGCGTACTTCGCGTTGAAGACTGAATTGTGTGAAGGAGTGTCAAAATCGCTGCCTTCGTCTATGGGGTATGTTCCGATCAGCGAACGTGCATGCTTTAGGCACTAAGGGAACAAACCGAGAATGATGTGACAGCGTTGTTGATGCAAGTCTTCACGCTGTTTACCCGTTGGGTTACGTCGGACGCTGAAACGATTCTCGTTGCAAGCTTCTGACTCGAAAGTACCCGAATCTGCTTCGTCTGTTCGTCCAAAGCCCTGTGCATGTGGTTTAAAATCAAGTGTGGAACTGAAGCGCATATACGCACAAATGGAATTCCTCGATTAGAGCCTTTACTTCGGGAGGAATCTCGCCTGTCCACAGTTGGAGTGGTCGCAGGATGGTTGTGTAAGCTTTAACGACCTCATTTTCTAACCCTTTGAGGTTTTCGCTATTACTGTCAACTGTCTGTGTGAATCAAAAGTGGACGAACATAAGCCATATGTAATCACCGATAGTGAAACTAGAACACTGCTCAAACCTTGTAAATTTGGAGAAATGTCAGCAGCAGACCCGGAATTTCGCTCAGAAGCGGAATAGGAGAAAATTTAAGAGCGGAGGTAGCAGCCTGTAGAATAAGCTCCGTGGTGCCGATAATGATCGGCTTCTTTCCGGGAGCCGGTTCCAGTAACGAATCCACGTCTGGGTCCAACTCCACGCGTTCTTGTTGTGAGTGGGTAGTGTCGATGCTGCGCGTCGAACGAGCAGGTTGTTTGGGATCGAGATGAAATGGCGATAGCCGCGAGGTATCAGGGATTGGGTGATGAACCGCAGGCAGTTCTAAGTGGGGTGTAGTTGACTTGTTACGGCAATTGAGACCTGACCACCGCCCGAACCACCCAGTAGTACAACATAAAGGCGATATCTCCGAATCACTAGGAGGTTCCTCGAGATGTGATCCTGTTGGTCTGTTCCTGCGGATACTGTTACGGTTTTGGGTTTCCTGGGGACCAGTGATATGAATTTCAGGGGATTGGGGAAAGGACCCCGATGTGCGCGATGACTGTGGACCACGAGTAGAGAGCTGGTAGGCAAGAACCTTTCCTTTCGGACCTCGAGAGGAAGATGGCGGTTGTTTTTTGCCAGGCATCACGCTAATGGTATGGACGATAGTGAACCAGGGCTCGAAGCATGAAGGCTGGAAAGCCCGCCTAGCCCCTATAAACGATACACGCAGAGGCAGCTGAGTCGAGGCAAGAAGCGGCCTTGCATTGACCACGATGTAAGGCCCCAGTGAGGCAGTCGTGCCTCTTACATTGCTTCATTTGGAACATGTTGATTCTAATACGGGAGAGCGGCCCTTTTCAGTCCCAGATAGGCATGAAGCTGCGCAGTAGCAGGTCACTCCCCCAATGTTGAAGTGAACGGCTCATTGATATTAGAATGACATGTACGATAGGATATCTCTGGGGGTCGGCAATCCATGTTGAAGCGTGCCACCCCCACGTGACCCACTTTTCCCCGTGAAACCTGGCGAGTCCTTTGATCATCTAACAAAGTGCTCAAACTCTCTCCAATCTCTTAATTATTGTTATTAACGCCAATATATGGTCTCTAGTAATCTAAATGGCCAGTTATTTTGAAAATTACTCTGTGGGATTGTGCTGATCGGCTGTCATCATCTCGCTATCTCCCGCATCCTCCATTTCTCGCCCTCTCCTGCGCTCAATTGCTAGCACCAGCTCTCTAACCTTGTCATCCTGATTTGGAATGCAACTGCTGAGAGGAACCAACGCATCTTGGAGCCTATATGTATTTAGCTGAGGCTTAGGCTGCCAGCTGCGCGATAGTTGTCTTTGGGTTTCTTGCCCATTCTATGTCATTGGTGAGTTCAACCACCTTTAATGCCTCGATTCTAGCGGTGTATTTGAGTTCCTTTATCTGCCTTTCCCTCCTATTTTCTGCAACCTTCGCTATTCCAGCATCTGCAAGCAATTTTCTACAAGCTTTCTCGGATCCTGACGCGCTGATAGGGGCTGTCCGCAAGATCTTGTGTTTTCTTGGTGTAAGCTTTGATGTGATGAATTCGTCGACAATTGATGCAGCTTTTTGATTATGAGAAGGGCCATTCCTTTTGACCCGGTTCCGCTGTGAAGCCATGATACAATGGGATCCCTCATCAGTACCCGGTGTGTGAATGCACTTAAAAGATTGTATTGGATGTATCTAGGTATCCGTAGGTTTCGTTTTCAAAATTAATGGCATCTTTCATGTTTTTCACTGTGATTTCTCGCAATATCTCAACAAAGAAGCATATTCAAAACGAAAAAAACCTAAGGTGCACTGGTATGGGTCACCAAGAACACTATTTTGCAATCACTTGAGTTCTATATTTGTTGTGTAGAGAGTTAAATGTCCCGCCGTTCCCAGCTTTATTCGCAATAAACAGCACAGCCACGGGTGGGTGAACAGTCGTCAACCTGAATTGCCGACCCCCAATATCTCCGCCAACAGCTTTAGTGGTGGAAACAGCCGAGTACCATCTATTGCAAAGTCTCGCCTGATGGCTGCTTCGCTAGACTCGGAATTACATAGGACCTAGATGAATTGGAGAAGAAGCCTTCCTTCTCTTCTACATTGCTAACGACTAAGGCATCTCACGCTTCAACGAGCAAAGGCTCTCATTCGTAATAACCACTTCCTCGAGGAAATACTACAGAAATCCGCTCATTTCAACAAGTTCAGCGTCTAGCCCTCTCGGTCCTGGTTTCCCTGCCTCATCGTTTGATCAGAAATCCTTCGACCACTTGACTTGCATGAATCACTTGCACCAGAAGTAGAGTGTCAACGTCTGGCTATCTCCCCGTATATTTGGTTTGTTATGCATCCTAGCTGAACGAGGGGATTAGGGAGCAGTGCCGGGGCCCAACTGGAGGCTTCTTTCTGTAGGGATTATTGGGGAGATAATGCTCAAATCTTTCCGCAAGCACTCGGTGTTTACGACAAGATACATGATAGCACCCTATATTACAGACGCAGCATTCCCATTTTGCAATCAAACAGAATGGGAAAATCACGCCTGGTAGCAGAAGTGTTGAAAAACGTGTGTCGCAATCAACAAATCTCTCCAGCTGGGCTCTGCTGATTCATGCTCCAACCTGGCTTAAGTATTTGCTTCCGCGACTCGAACAGCCCGGAGGCCAGCTGGCCTCCACGAGATGAGGCCATGTGTCGATTCGTAAATTCGGTCAAGTATTTAGTATGTTTGATTAATAGAGGCCAAGGCAATGCGCACTGACCGATCCCGTTAGGGGGAAGAAATGGCCGCTGCCCTTGTCGGGGCACTTTTTAAACAGGTCTACGAACGCCTTGGTCGTAATCCAAATGACGACCTTGAGACGCAAATGTCTGCCTGGTCATATAAATCTGTGTCGCGTGGGGTATCGTTTGAGTCAGTTTTCGAGGTAGCTAATCGGTCTCTTGCAACAATGCCAGATGACCTGGTGGCCCGATGGCAGAGGATTATTGAGGAAAAAGACCTTGATGAGATCGATGAATGGTATAAAGAGCTGTACTGACACTTTTGCTTGGAAGCGACAAAGAATCTGGGAATTGATCTCCAGCGTCTCGGACACGATAAGTTCATTGTTGCATTTGACGAGTGCACAAACATCATATCTCAGAGTTCAACGCTCAAACTTGCTGTCAAGACTAGATCAAAGTTCCTATCCCCCGCTTATGGGATGTCGATATTAGCACTTCGATGGATGATTAAGGCTCAAGATGAATTTCCCATCGAAGGATTTGACTTTTTCCTCGGTACAGGTCCCATGATTGCCGAGTTTTTTCACCCATGTCGCGAAGCATCATTAATCCGGCACCCTGATCTCACAACGCTCCCACCTTGGCCATACGTAGGTTTTGATGTGATGATACACTCACCAGCGAGGACTCCCAGAGAGGCATTGTCGTTTAGCTACTTGAAGAGTTACGGCTGCCCGGTACGACTCCTTTCTCACTTTTAATCATCTGGGACATTCCATCGTGTTTGGCTTCACTATTGGTTAACGTATGCTGCAACTAATTTTCTGTCAGGAGAAATTTATGCATGTGCTCAAGGCCACCGTATTTTAATCCCATCGATGTTGACCATGTTCTTGCAACATTTTCCCACCATTCCCCGTTGAGCTTGCGACCAACGAGGCTGGGTCTATTCTTGCTGCCTCAGGCGTCGCGGCCATATGTGAATCCAGAGGGACATCATTGGCTGTTCGCGTATTGAAACTGTCACTTCTTCCGAGCCAGCACTAGCGATTGCAATTTGCAGCCATGAAGGAGCTAATGGCATCGTGAGAAACATACAAGAGAGCCCTTGAGACATTTGTTGATAACCTGATGATCAACGGATCCATCCTCAAGCGAAGTCATCAAGCCGAATTGTTCAGCTGCATTCTGTTGACCCTTGCATGGGATTGGGCAAGTGCATCCAATTGCATTCAGCAGGTCCCCACGATATCGTCAAAAGTGTTCTGGACCGCCCTCCTTGGCGACAATCTTGGGTTGCTCCCCAATGATCAGAACCTGAAAGAAATGGACAATGCCCATCTCAACTTGACGCACATGGTCCGGCTGACAGACAATTTATCGGTTGGTTTCCTCTGCAAGGCATGGTGCTCTGGTGCTGCATTCCAATACAAACCTCAACAGCCTTGTATTGATGGGCTCGTTCTTACTTGCACTGGAGCGCTTGATGACCCATTTGCATCGAGACAATTCAGTTACATAGCTTGGTTATCGGAGCTGCGCGTTGATGCATCTACTTCTGATCTTCCTTCGGAGCTTGTATCGAAGGAGTCGACTGTGGTGTTCATGGATCTCCACACTAACAGCGGTTCTGCGTCAACGGCAGGAAAACTGTTTCAACTCGCTCTTGGGTGTGTGCAACATTCGCACGTCCCTAGGCATGGGTGGGGAGTTTGCATGCCCACCCAAGACGAGGAGCCCCCTCGATGGTGCATCCATGCTCGAGGACACACATGCATCACGTACCCTGTGATCGAAAGGGTTAGCTTGTAGTTTACCGCCCTCTTCAACCAATCTTCTCCCTGGATGGACCGGGTTTTGTCCGAAGAAATGGGGGAGGAGGAGAACCCTTTCGTTGTGCAGTTGGACTGACGCAAAGGTCTGGCAGGGACTCCCGGATCTGAGGTCAAATAAGCATCGGCTGTTCATGTAACAAAGGTGCGGGATTTTTAGCGACCCAAAACTGTAGCGCTGTATTATCATCACACGCACTCCGTTATGATGTTCTTCATGAAAAACGAATCTGAGCAACTTGTCTGCGACTTCGATCAAGGCTGGGCGACTACAACTAGCGGAGGGCTCCGTCGATTTGCCCCACCAACATTTCGGCCATGGCAGTCAGTTCTTGCGCCGTCAGCCGATACTGTATCCTGCACAGTAGCAGTCTGTACCGATGATGAGGTGCGGACAAAACACCTCTGGTTTCGAACCTACTTGCGTCTTGTCCGCACCTCAGCACGTCCGTCGTCGTGAGGCTTAGTAAGTACATTTGCTTTCCTCTTCTAGCCATGATCTTCTTCGGTCGCCCATCCGAGAATGTTATCATGGTTCTTCAGGCATCAGCTATCTGTTCCTCATCCCTTTTCCGTCCCACGTGACACCACCTCGAAAAGAGAGGGTAAACGTCTAGCGAGATCAGATAACTCCTAAAACCCCCACAAAGTCCCCAAAGCCCCCAAAGCCCCCATCTCCCACGCAAGATCTCTTCACAATGGACAAGCATAAAAATCCAGATCCAGGAGGAACAACAGGACCGAATAGGACCAACACCCACCAGACTAGGGTAATGTATAACACCAGCTCAACCACCCCCAAACAACCCCACCATGTTATGGAAATGGGAATTTCCCATTTTAGACTCTTATGGGTTCTGTATCATGTGATTTATATAGTAATATAGTTTAACCAATCAATAATCAACAAAAACCCGCTGCCACACTACCTGTTCAACAACATGTTAAACCATCTGTGAAACCACCTGTAAACCATTATGTCCAACCCCCTTCCCTATTCCTGCGCCAGAACGGACGAAAATGGGCGCTTCCGGCCCCATTTTGTAACACACCAGGTGCTCCCCAGATGCAGCAAAAAGTTCACACTGAGAGGGCAGACTGGACAAAACACCTTGGAAGATCCCAGCCCCTGGGGGAATGCAGCGGCCAACTGGAACCGAACAGCACAACTGGACAATGCTAACCAAGACACCACCCCGCAACCGCCCCCAATCCAAGAAACACTAATTACCACCAGTATCCCAACACTCGGTCCCAATTCACCAGAACTGGTACAGAACCAAGATTTAGAAGATGGAACATATGATGAACCCGACCTACATGACCAGGAAAACCAATCCCAATCACCCTCCGATACGGAGGATGATGAGATGTTATTCTTAGAACCGAGCCCAGAGGATAGATTAGAAGACGAAAACCACCACACCATGGATGAAGCCAATGAATACATGCATGTTGCTGCAGAAAGAATCCTACATGTCCAGAAAGCAGGACTCTGGCAACGCTTCCTCCCAGCATACACCCACTGGTACCTAGGACTGCCCAAGGCTACATCCCCCAACCCGGTGAAGGAGCGGAGCTGGATCACCTTATGTAACCAGTTTCCTACATCCAATAACGATATTAGAGTTTGTGCTGATTTGCGTACTGACCGTGTTTTGGTTGCCAAATATATAATTGTTCACTGTCTAAACAACAATAAACACCCCCCAACGATCTCACCTGACATATAGATCGTCTATGGATAAAATTCTATATTGACTTTACTATGATTTCTAGTCAATATTACACCTAGATATACCACTTTTCAGTAGGATGTGATTTTCCTGATAATTTACTGAAGGAAAACTACTAATAAAATAATTCCGCAATAAATGTTACTCAATACAGGAGTGACCAAACTGCTCTTTCTATCGCTTAGAGTGTGTGCTAGTTATCTAGCAGGTTCAGGATCGCTCACTTTTCTCCTGTGGTGTGATAACCAAGTATTGCTGAGAGATTATTCAATTAAGAAGTCCCTCCACCAAATTCTCACTAATTCTCACTATGACACTTTTGTTCAGCTGTGTCTAACTGACCCTAACTCACGCTTAGAGTGACGTGTTAGTTTTATATTAGCTAACAACTAATATTTGCTTTTATCTTTTGGAGCAAACGAACCAACCACTGGTGAGGAGAATTAAACTTTTATTTCTACCTGAGGTTTGAGAGGGGGCAGAAGCGGCAGCCTTTTATGCTTTTCAGAGGCCTCTCTACTCCCATGCCTCGCACTAGTTACATGTGCTACATTTGTATTATAGATAGTTCTAGAATGATATAGGGGCTTGGGCTGTGTAAGCTTAATAATGGACTTAGGACATGACTCAGCAATAAGTAATTCAGTTCTTTGTCTTTTGGGCCGATCTTAGCGGGGTCTTGTAGCGCTAAAGCTATGCTCTACACCGCCTTAATTACGAACGGTTATCTTTAGAAATGACTCGGCTATAAAGGAACTTTCTAGACTGTTCCCTAATTCACCCCTTTTTGTGAAGCCGCATCATTACTAATGTTCTAGAGCTTTCCCAATTAATTAACTGATCCGCGGACTTCTGAATCACTTTATGCTTATGATCCGAGATCCAGATCATCAATCATTCCTTTGTTCCAATTTATTTGAGCTTAAAATCAAAAAGTTTTGATGAATCATGGGAAAATATACAAGATCTGGTTTTTTAGCATTTTCTCCTCTTCTGATGCGATCAAAAACTGTCCGCCCGCGTCGGGGAATACTCTGTCATATGGTATTTGTTCTGCCAGACTTCCGGGTGCCAATATATTTCCCTTGAGTCACATTACCTTTTATAAGAATTAGCAAATAAATATATATGAATTATAAGGTATTTCGCCGTTTGAGCGATATCTCCGTCAGTTTTGAAGCTTTTAGAATGAAACAAAACCGTGGATAAAGTTTAGAAACAGTCCTTTTAGATGGTAAAAAGATTACAGTCAAAGGTCTACTGGTTCCCGAGATATTCACATTTCTTTCCCAATGTTCCTTCTTATTCTGCCGTCTATGTGCTATTTTCTTGTTGTAGGGATATATTCTTTGAATATTACACCTATGCCAGGTTCTAGGCATGCTTGTAGTAGATTAAATCTCATGCTACATGGGTGTAGATAATTTATAATGATCTTCTAATGTCTGTCCAGTCTCATAAAGATCATGAGATCTGTTAAACATCTGAACTTGTCACCTTTTTGTTGACTATTCTGATAGATCATTGTTTTATTCTTTGAATATTATTTCTCCTACACCGGGCTTCACAAAGCTGGCGGGAGGAGACCTTGAGGAACGCCTCGTGGAGGCCGAAGCTAATGTATCATGCTTAACCAGAACATGCGAGTACCTGACCAACAAACTAGAACTCCTTGAGTCAGACCAGAATGCCAACAGTGTCCCGTCTCCTCCCAGGAGGGACCCAGACACTGTAGCAGCGCCGATGGGGAAACCAAAGAAAACCTGGGCGAGCGTTGCAGCAAGAAACCCCCCAAAGCCACCCCCGCCCTACAGCGAACCAAAGCAGCCAAATACCGTGGTGGGCCCACAGGGGCTGACTGCCAAACAGCTGGTGGAACCCACAGTGGACTCACACTGCCTAATCATCCAGGTGAACCCCCCAATTCGCCCAGATCAGCGCCCAAACGGCATAGAAACCCGGAAAAGAGCTAACGAGCTGTTGGAGAGGAAGAATCTCCCACACTACCTCAGGATCATGGCAATCGGATATTTGGTAGCAGGGAACATTAAGCTCACGACCGCACTGACATGTAAGGCCTCCAACTTAATCCAATATGGCCACGAAATAGCGGCACTCATCACAGAAAATGAGGTCCTTGCTGTACTTCCCGACATGGAACACTACAGGGTCAAAATAAATAAAGTCCCAACACATAGCGGGAGCAGTCCAATGCCCATCAGCATGGTACATGAAGAGCTCTCAACATACATAGCCATGTACAGAGATCTGAGCACTTGGAGGGCACCCAAGTGGCTTGGATCAGATGAGACCATACGTGTTACAGGAATGGGTTCCGGGGAACCCAACCTGAGCTGTTCTGCTCACGGACAGAGGTGGCTGCATAGCCGTTGAAGGGAGAGCAGGAGATCTGAGACCAGGTGTACTAACGGTAACTTGACGCTCTGAGGAGCGTACCGGCAGCGGGTATAATGGGGGCTCCTTGAGGGAGCCACCTAACAGTTGGCTAGCGGCAACTTGGCGCTCCAAGGAGCATACCGGCAGCGGGTATAATGGGGACTCCTTGAGGGAGCCATCTAACAGTTGGCTAGCGGTGACTTGGCGCTCATGTGAGCGTACCGGTAGCGTGGGTAGTTGGCACTCCTTGAGGGAGTAGCCCAGTGGTTGTCTATCGGTTACTTGGCGCTCAAGGGAGCGTACCGGTAGCGGGATTTGTTGGGACAGACAGGTTGGTTGACCAGTGCACGGTAGTGAGTGACCGTGGGAATTTGGGCCCGCGGGTACGTGGCCAGGCATCCTGGGGCTGCCTGGGTCACTTCTCCCTCCCAAGAAGGGAGGAAGGGTTGTAGGACCCAGTAGGGTACTACAGGAAGGATAGGAATAGGAGCTCAACCACCCAGTGGGGGGGTGGGAGCGGGAAGAGTGAGGTCCGGTGTCTGAGCACTCACCGGGCCGATGAGGTTGTCTCACAGATTGTAAGAATATCGATGTAGACATCGATATGGACCAATTCAGATGTTACAGAGAAGGCTTACAGTGGTGGCACAATGGTGTGGCAGTTACAATCGCGGGTACAAGGTTTTGTGGGTTATGTATTAGATAAGGAAAGACATTTTTCGGCATCTGCCTTACACATCATATGACTTCTAACTATCTAATATAAAAGTCACAATGGTCAAGGGAAGTCCCTTGAAACTCAACAAATTCCCCAGCCAGCACCAAAACCCAGTGGGAAAGCTTGGCATGGGGTTTGACAGTGAAATAAAGGTG